GCTGTGAGATCTACTGAATGTAAGACAGGTTGTGGATAAGCAAGTATAAGCGGATTTATTTATTGTCACTGAAAAGAAAAAAAATTCAGCCTTTAAAACTGCAAATCTAATGTTGCACCAGGTTACATGCCAGTGTAATGAACACAAGTTTTCTGTTTCAATATTTGTTTTTCCTACAAGTGATTTGTTCCATTGTCATCTCAGTTCCTGCCAAACACTTCTCAGGTTGACGTACTCCTAACTTTCGACCTGAAGAACTGTGACGACTAAGGATTAAGTTGTGAGAGCAAAAGTCAAGAAAACATCAAGGTGAACTTTAAACACGCCAGCCCTGCATTTATATTTGTGCTCAAGATCAAAATTAGATATCATGTTGGGCTTAGCGCACCTATACAATGGCGACCTTTTGTACAAGTTATACCCTTTGTGTCATGTGATCAGTTTAGTAAAAACTTATGCTAGAATGTGATATTGAAGACAGCATGTTGTCTAGGTCATTTACAACTACTTTTCAGATGTTAAGACCAGCCATTCTTATTCAGGGTTCCTCCAGAGGTTGCTATAGCTTTCTTAGGTTGTGACTGATTAACCTCCCATCTGATAGTGCCTGCATAGTCTCAGGTCCATTGCCACTTGGAAGAGCCAGCAGCAGGACACCAGTGATCTTGTTAGCTGGCTGTAAAAGTGGCACGGTTCTTACTGTCCACCAATGTAAAAAGCAATTTCTCAATGAACCATGACAGACTAATCTTAGACCAGGTTCCCTGAGACCTGAAGGTGATTTCAAGGGTTCCACTTGGGTAAGTGGGCAAGTGGTCTCCAAACTTTCTAAACAAAGAGCCAGCTTACTCTACTTCAGACTTTGGGGGGGGGGGGGGAGGCAGATTGTAGCCATTGGGGGTAGATATGGTCTTTTATTCAGTGGAAGTAAACAATGCCCTGGTGTGTTGGTCATTAGGAGTAAACAAACTGCATTCTGCCTGTGGTCAGTAAGAGGAGGACTAGTGTCCCATCCTGGTTATTGTGGGGAGAAATGGCACCCCATCATTGGTATCAGTGGGAGGAATAGTGTCTCATCATATGTGTCATTTGGAGGAGTAGTGCCCCATCATTGGTATCATTTGGAGGAACAGTGCCCCATCATTGGTATCATTTGGAGGAACAGTGCCCCATCATTAGTATCAGTAGCAGGAATAGTTCCCGCTTCATTGGTATCATTTGGAGGAATAGTGCCCCATCATTGGTATAATTTGGAGAAATAGTGCCCCATCATTGGTATCAGTAGCAGGAATAGTTCCCCCTTCATTGGTATCAGTGGGAGGGACAGTGCCCCATCATTGATATCAGTGGGGAGGAATAGTGTTCCATCATTGGTATCATTTGGAGGAATAGTGCCCCATCATTGGTATCATTTGGAGGAATAGTGCCCCATTATTGGTATCAGTGGAAGGAATAGTGCCTCATCATTAGTTGGAGAAGTACTGTCTCATCATTGGTATCAGTGGCAGAAATAGTTCCCCCCCTCATTGGTATCAGTGGGAGGAATAGTGCCCCATCATTGGTATCAGTGGGAGGAATAGTGCCCCATCATTGGTATCAGTGGGAGGAATAGTGCCCCATCATTGGTATCATTTGGAGGAATAGTGCCCCATCATAGGTATCAGTGTGAGGAATAGTGCCTCATCATTAGTTGGAGAAGTACTGTCTCATCATTGGTATCAGTGGCAGAAATAGTTCCCCCCCCCCCCCCCCTCATTGGTATCAGTGGGAGGAATAATGCTCCATTATTGGTATTAGTTGGAGGAGTAGTGCCCCATCATTGGTATCAGTGGGAATAGTGCCTCATCATTGGTAGCAGTGGGAGGAATAGTGCCCCATCATTGGTATCAGTGGGAGGGGTAGTGCCTGATCATTGGTATTAGTGGGAGGAATAGTGCCTCATCATTGGTATTAGTGGGAGGAATAGTGCCTCATCATTGGTATCAGTGGGAGGAATAGTGCCTCATCATTGGTATCAGTGGGAGGGATAGTGCCCTATCATTGATATCAGCGGGAAGAATAGTGCCCCACTGTTTGTATCAGTGGGAGGGATAGTGCCCCATCACTGGTATCAGTCGGAAGAATAGTGCCCCATCATTGGTATCAGTGGGAGGAATAGTGCTCCATCATTAGTATCAGTGGGGGGGGAATAGTGCCCCATCATTTGTATCAGTGGGAGGAATAGTGCCTCATCATTTGTATCAGTGGGAGGAATAGTGCCTCATCATTTGTATCAGTGGGAGGAATAGTGCCCATCAATGGTATCAGTGGGAGGAATAGTGCCCCATCATTGGTATCAGTGGATGGAATAGTGCCCCATCATTGGTATTAGTGGGAGGAACAGTGTCCCATCATTGGTCTCAGTGGGAGGGATAGTGCCCCATCATTGGTATCAATGGGAAGAATAGTGCCCCATCATTGGTATCAGTGGGAGGAATAGTGCCCCATCATTGTTATCAGTGGGAGGGATAGTGCCCCATCAATGATATCAGTGGGAGGGATAGTGCCCCATCATTGATATCAGTGGGAGTGCCAAATACTGGTGTGAGGAATAATGCCCCAAGGGCCGGATGAAGGCTAGCAAAGGGCTACATCCGGTTTGGAGACCATTGGTGTAAACAGACAAAAGAAAGGGGGTTGATTCATGTTTTCTAAACTATAGAGTCTTCTGTATATTCTCTGCATACCTTTCATATACTTTGACTATATGTCATTTGCTAAATTTGGCTACATATTTCCAGAGGTGACCAGAAGAAGGCAAAAAGATATGGAAACACTTTGGGGGAGATTTACTAAAACTGGTGTTGTCAGAATCTGGTGCAGCTGTGCATGGTAGCCAATCAGCTTCTAACTTCAGCTTGTTCAATTAACCTTTGGCAATAAAATCTGGAAGCTGATTGGTTCCTATGCACAGCTGCACCCAATTTTGCACTATCCAGTTTTAGTAAATAATCCCCTTTTAGATCAGGCACACCGTTTTTTTAGATGCCTTTTCTCCTTACAGAAAGAGCAGCAAAAAAATGCAATAAAAGCCGCGTTTATGCCTGGCCGCATCTGCACAGTAGTTTTCTTACGGGGTTCTATAGGACAGGTTTCTGGCTTTGGGAGATGGCTCCACAGAACCCTAGAGGAAGCTACTGCACTAGTGTGGCTAAGCTCTACCACCCGGATCTAAACAAACAGTGGAAGCTGTGGGCATGACTGCAAGGTAAGTATGAAGCTGAGGAGGGTGGACTGGTTTATATAGTGCATGTATCCTTTAATAGGCTCACACACCTCTGCTACTCCCAACGGGCAACCATGGAAAGAAGGACAGGGGCATTCGGATCCACAACGACGTGTGTAGCTTTCTCTACCGAGACCTGCACTCATCCGCTGACTGGGCTTGGATATGCAAGGATATATTGACGACACCAAATAAGAATCACTGCTCACTTGCAAATTATTGTGGCTTTATAATAAAAGCCAATGATGACACAGGCTTCATGAGTCTCGGGGGCTTGAAATCCTAACCAACCAATGCTGCACAACAGAGACCAGGGAGAAACCTACTAAGCAATGCCTATCAACATGACTACGCAAAATGGAACAAGTTGATATTCGGTCTGCAAGAAATTATTTATGTAATTCTTTGGGCTCAGAAAACCAGGATACGCCCTTCGTGTCTCTTTGCTCAGTCCCAAAAAAGCCACCCCATACTCACTCTCCACTTTCAAGCACATTAAACACAATTATGGGATTCTACTCAGACAATTTCTTCTAATCCAGCCTATCAGATGTCTGGGTAGCTGGAAAATAAGCACTGTAAGCGAAAAGTTTTCCCATCAGCAAAATCTGACTCTGTCTTTGGTAAAACATACACACAACAATCTGCACCAATCTACCCCTCCCCTAGCGCTTAGTGCATGTGGGTTATAGATGTATACACAGCTCCCGCATGAAAACTTTATATAGCCACTTGACCCCCCGGCCAATTCAGACAATTCTCTAATACATGTAAAAATCTGCATTTTTTTTGCTAGATAATTACTTATAACCCCCAAACATTATATATTTTTTAAGCAGAGGTCATAGAGAATAAAATGCTGGGTGTTGATATTTTTTATGTCACATTAGTAAACGCAAACACAATATAAAACCATTTTTTGTAAACTATAAAAGATGATGTTATGCCAAGTAAACAGATACCAAACATGTCACGCTTTAACATTGCACATGCCTGTGGAGTGGCGACAAACTACAGTACATTTAATTATCCATAGGCAACACTTTAAAAACTTTTACAGGTTAAACAGGAGGTCTGGCACTAGAATTATTGCTCTCACTCTGACGTGCATGGTGAAACATCATGTGTGGTGCAATAGCCACTTACATAGGTGTTCAGGACCTACGTGCACGTTCATATTGGTGCGTGAGCACAGGCGGACATTGGCACTTTAAAAAAAAAGTTTAATTTTAATAATTATTTTATTAAAATTTATTTTTTTTCACTTTATCTTTATTTTTTTTAATCAACTTCATTGCTATCACAAGGGATGAACAACATCCCTTGCGATAGCTTGAGCCATGACAGGTCCTCTTTAAGGACAGATTTGGGGCTGTGTTAGAATACTGGGCTGGCTGCCTGGCTCTTCTGTGCAGCAGAACTTATTCCTCGGTCCAGCAGTCCAGCAGTATCCTCAACATTGCTGGTTTCACCGGCCATCTTCTCTCCCTGGTGCCGGCATCTTTAGTGTGGGCACCCGGCTGTGACAGCTTGCGGCTTCACAGCCGGGTGCCCACTGCGCATGTGCAAGAAGCACTGCGCTTTGTGAATGGCCCTGTAGTCCTCTGGGACCTGTCACGTGTCCCACAAGACTACTGGGAGGGAGTGAAGACATCTTCCGCTTCCGATCGCCTAGGCAATCGCAGCAGAAGTGGGAGCGGGTACCTGTCAAATTTGTGTACCCGCACCCCAAAACAGTCTCTGGTCACCCCCTGTACTATGTCCGCAGTCTCTGGTCATCATCTCCTGTACTGTGTCCGCAGTCTCTGGTCATCATCTCCTGTACTGTGTCCGCAGTCTCTGGTCATCATCTCCTGTACTGTGTCCGCAGTCTCTGGTCATCTCCTGTACTGTGTCCGCAGTCTCTGGTCATCATCTCCTGTACTGTGTCCGCAGTCTCTGGTCATCATCTCCTGTACGGTGTCCGCAGTCTCTGGTCATCTCCTGTGTCTCTGGTCATCTCCTGTAGTACATCTGCAGTCTCTGGTCATCTCCTGTAGTATGTCTGCAGTCTCTGGTCATCTAATGTAGTATGTCCGCAGTCTCTGGTCATCCCCTGTACTATGTCCGTAGTCTCTGGTCATCGTCTGTACTGTGTCCGCAGTCTCTGGTCATCTCCTGTAGTATGTCTGCAGTCTCTGGTCATCTCCTGTAGTATCTCTGCAGTCTCTGGTCATCCCCTGTACTATGTCCGCAGTCTCTGGTCATCTCCTGTACTATGTCCGCAGTCTCTGGTCATCTCCTGTACTGTGTCCGCAGTCTCTGGTCATCTCCTGTACTGTGTCCGCAGTCTCTGGTCATCATCTCCTGTACTGTGTCCGCAGTCTCTGGTCATCATCTCCTGTACGGTGTCCGCAGTCTCTGGTCATCTCCTGTGTCTCTGGTCATCTCCTGTAGTACATCTGCAGTCTCTGGTCATCTCCTGTAGTATGTCTGCAGTCTCTGGTCATCTAATGTAGTATGTCCGCAGTCTCTGGTCATCCCCTGTACTATGTCCGTAGTCTCTGGTCATCGTCTGTACTGTGTCCGCAGTCTCTGGTCATCTCCTGTAGTATGTCTGCAGTCTCTGGTCATCTCCTGTAGTATCTCTGCAGTCTCTGGTCATCCCCTGTACTATGTCCGCAGTCTCTGGTCATCATCCTGTACTATGTCCGCAGTCTCTGGTCATCTCCTGTACTGTGTCCGCAGTCTCTGGTCATCTCCTGTACTGTGTCCGCAGTCTCTGGTCATCTCCTGTACTGTGTCCGCAGTCTCTGGTCATCTCCTGTACTATGTCCGTAGTCTCTGGTCATCTCCTGTACTATGTCCGCAGTCTCTGGTCATCTCCTGTACTGTGTCCGCAGTCTCTGGTCATCTCCTGTACTGTGTCCGCAGTCTCTGGTCATCTCCTGTACTGTGTCCGCAGTCTCTGGTCATCTCCTGTACTGTGTCCGCAGTCTCTGGTCATCTCCTGTACTATGTCCGTAGTCTCTGGTCATCCCTGTACTGTGTCCACAGTTTCTGGTCATTTCCTGTACTATGTTTGCAGTCCATTGGTTCAGAATATTTTTTTTTCTTGTTTTCCTCCTCTAAAAACTAGGTGCGTCTTTTGGTCAGGTGTGTCTTTTGGAGCAAAAAATATGGTAGCTGCTGTACAAACCAGTCACAGCTTGTCAACAAACTGAAACGGGAAGTGAAAGTGGCAGATTTACACTAACGGAACATCACTGCATGCAATATATTAATTAGCGATGAACATGGTTTGGCTCCAGACTCAGTCAATGATCATATGGTCATGCTAAGTCAATGAGGTCATGATCAACCTTGTCCCTTTGTGTATATGAAGCTGTGGCCGGTAATCCCCCACCCATCTTTCATTGGCTCTAACCCAAGTCCATCCCTAGTCACAATATACAGTATACACAAAATATTCAACTTTTATCATTAAAATGCAGCTCTTCCAGTCAATTGACCTTTCCTAGGCTAAGATAATGCCATCAGCTTGCTGTAGGCAGGCAAAAGCTTTTCCATACTTTTCTCTCTCCCCCAGAGAGACTGCAACATTACTAAACCTTTTTATGTCTGTGTCCCCACTGGATAGCTTTCCCTTCGGTTATAACAGAAAGTTAGGGGAATCTCCCAAAAGGGACAAATGGGCACCAACAAAAACCCAACGGTGCTTCCAACCCTTTCCTACTCAATCCAGAACCAAACAGGTGTGGCCTGGGTTCCATTTTAAGCCTTGCTCCTACTAGTCTAATTTAAAGAGTAACTCCACCTTTGTTGAAAAAAAACATTGCCCTCTGGGTGATCTATGTACATTGCAAGGATTTTAAGAAACTTTGTTGAAGATTCCTACCTTTTGTTATTCTGAATAAAAAGCTGTTTGTCTGTGTCCATGTGCAAAATAAATGTGAATGGGAGTGATTTTATCATTATCAGCTGCTGCACTCGCAGGATTCGAATGAAGAAAGTGGCAGGGTCTGCATCCCTTTACATGTGATTTCCCTTTGAGAGTATCTTAAAGAATATTTCTGTTGCAGCGGATGCCCAAAGTCTGGCTTGAATCTTAGTGCAGACTTCTGGGAAAATCAGTAATCCAATCACACAAGCAGGAAATGACATTTCAGGGGGGGTTCTATATACCATCTATGTACAGAACGCCCCCAAGTAGCCATATTGGATTTAATTTTACAGAAAATTACAGCGCTGCAGATTGAAAAGGAAAGGTCCTTATTTTTAATAACATTATGATTTGTGTAGCAATTGTACCTGCTATATTATTTATATTATTTACTATGTGTCCCACTAAAGTGGAGTTACCCTTCAATGAGTACTGCAATAACAAAGATTCCTTTTGCAGGACACAGAAGCAAGTGTTTCTTTGCTCCAAATGTTGTAACTCTGATCCAATCAAGATTGTTCAATAAGGGAACTGTATCCTACAACAGCCAATCACATGTCACCCTTTTCCCCAAACAGTCTCTACTAATATGTAATCTGATTGGCTGCTATGGGCAGTTCCAATTTGCATATCATCTTTGCACTTTGAATTATTCCATAAATCGAATAGAAGTAAAAAAAGAAAATGTTTAGCAATGCCGGAATCTAGATTCCCATAATGCACTGCTTCCTTATCTTTCAAATAATAAAGATAAGGGAGATAGTGTAGAGCGGGGCAGGGCCAGGCAAGTCCTTGATGATCATATACAGTGTATATTATACAGTACAGGATAGGACAGGTAGAAAATATCTATTCATACAATAAATCAACAATACAGAGTAATATCTCCATGTGCTGCTGATTTGTTATTTATCCCAGAAGTGCCGATGAACAATGAACTCACACAACTATTTGCTTTTATATTTTTTCAACTGAATGTGATTTGAAGGGTGCTGGAGAGGATTGGGGTTAGGTGTGGTGGAGCGGTTATGATGGTAAGGGGATATTAGGGGCTGAAAATAAATAATTGGGTGTGTTAGGCAATCCATACATCCAACTGACGTAATTTCCTGGATCTGGCAGCAGAGGAGGTAACATTGGCTTCCGATTGCCCAACGCATAAAATTCAAAATACTAACATTGACGTACAAAGCTGTTCATATTACTGCCCCAAACTACCTCACCAACCTGATATCCATCTACCACCCAAAACATACTCTCCGCTCCTCACAAGACCTCCTACTCTCCAGTTCCCTGGTCTCCTCCTCCCATGCCCATCTCCAGGGTTTCCACCCTCCTCTGGAACTCACTACCCCAATCCATCAGACTATCACCTACCCTCCTCACCCTCTATCTCTTCAGAGAAGCCTACCCCGCCCTCACCTAACTGCTGATCTCCTCCGCTCTCCCCACCACTCCATCCCCCACAGCCACTTCCTCCTGTACCACTCTCCCCTCCCTCCTAGATTGTAAGCTCCAAGGAGCAGGGCCCTCGAACCCCTCGTGTATTGTATTGTTACTGTACTGTCTCATGTATTGTCTCCCATTGTAATGTACAGTGTTGAGCGAACTGTTGGCGCTATATAAATACCGTATAATAATAATAATAATGTATTCTGACAGCAGGGAGACTTCCCTTCCATCAGAATACACTGATCAGCCCCGCTGGCTGTAGCCAGCGGTGCTGATCATTTGGATATTTTCCAAGCAAGCGGGTTGTAGATTGTAGATCGACTTCTGTACCCGTGCCCATAAATGGAGTGAAATTCCTCCGGTCCCTGTTGAACCGGCCAAATTTCGATTCATGTATGGCTGACCTTAGGTGCAAGAGAATGTAGCCAGTGGTGCTGATCGTGTGGACATTTTCCAAACAGCTGTTTGTAGATTGTAGATCGACGACTGTACACATGCCCATAAATGGAGTGAAATTCTTCTGGTCTCTGCTGAACCGGCCAAATTTTGATCCACGAATGGCTGACTTTAGCTCCGAGAGAATTCTAGGTTTGAGGGAAAAGGTACGGGGGAAGAAGTTCTAATGGTAAAGGGGTATTCATTGCTGCAGGGTATGAATGTGTGCAGGGACAGGTGCAGAGGAGTTATGATGTTAAAGGGGTAGGAATTATGAACGGACAAAACGTGATACTATGGGGGCACATGCTTGTGTTAGGTGCAGGAGAATTCTTTGGATAGTCTATAGGTGCAGATGAGGGGGTTATGATGGGAAAGGGGTATTAAGTGCTGTAAATTATGAATGGTCTGTGTTGGGTGAAGGAGAATTATAGGGTTGGAGGATAGCTGCAGATAAGATGTTTATAACAATAAAGTCAAATTAGGAGCTGGAGAGTATCAATGTTAGATTCAGAAGTATAATAGGGTGCGGGGGTGCCAAACTGTTGCCCTACAGCTGTTGTAAAACTACAAGTCCCATCATGCCTCTGCCTTTCGGAGTCATGCTTGTAACTGTCAGTCTTGCCATGCCTCATGGGGCTTGTAGTTTGGCAACAGCTGGAGGGCCACCAGTTTGACACCCGTGGGTTAGGGAATAGGTATCGATGAGGGGTTATGATGGTAAGGGGGAATTAGGTGCTAGAGAGTATGAACTGGGCATGTTAGGTTCAGAGGAATTATAGAGTTGGAGGATAGGTGCAGAAGAGGAGTCTTGGCAATAAGGAGTATTTTGCTCTGGAGAGTATAATTGGGGTGGGATGTATTAGGTGTCAGAGAGTTAGAGGGTTGGAGGGATAGCCACAGAAGAGGGATTATTAGGGTTAGGGGTGCTATGTGTATTAAAAATGATAGTGGCTAGGAGAAAAGAGATTATGAAAGTAAGGGATATGAGATTTTGGAGATCATATGAATGGGATGTGGGCATTGTAGGGTCTTGGAGGATAGGTTCAGAGGAGGGGTTGTCAGAGTATGGGGTATTAAGTGCTGAAGAATATGAATGGGATGTGGACAAGTTGCAGAGATTAGGAGTATTGGTGCGGATGTGCAATTAATAGCGTAGTGTTATTAGGTAATGGAGACTACGAATTGAATTTGTTAGGTGTGGGAGAGTTATAGGAGTTGTTCGGATAGGAGGGGTTATTAGGGTATGGAGAATTATGTACTAAAGATAATGAATAGGATTTGTTAGGTATGAGATATTTTTACAGGTTGGATGGATAGGGGGTATTAAATGATGGAGATTATGAACAGGAATTAGTTGTTCAAGGACAGAAGAAAGGTTTTTAGGGAATGGGGTATCAGGTGCTTAAAGTTATAAATGTCATTTGTTATGTGTGGATGGATAGGGACAGAGGAGAGCTTTTTAGGATAAGGGGTATTGCATACTGTAGATTATGAATGGGATTTCTTAGGTGTGGGGCAATTATAGGTGTTAGATGGATAGGGAGGTATTATTAGGGTAAGGGGTATTACGTACAGGAGATTATGAATGGGATTTCTTAGGTG